GTTTGTCTCTTTTAGTAGTTAGGGTACACGTGGAAGCATAGGGTTCACGTTCACACATGGAAGGAAGTTAAACCCTAGAATATTAGTTTTGGCGGCATTTTTTAGAAGGAAACAAATCTCTTTCCTTTATTTTATTAATTTTTATCAACTCAAATATCTTCTCATTTAATACTACATCTCATTTCCTTAGGCATTTTTACCAATTTACCTTTAAGAAACCACCAACTACCCATCTTTTTCCTCTAAAATTGTCTACCTTTATATGTTACATCTCACGTCTCTTTTTACTTTCTTCCCCATATTTTCGATTATTATCTTTGAGTTTTCAACCCCCTAAAGCCCTCCATAGTTGTCATAAAAATCACTTATTTTTTTCATTAAAAATGTTGCTCATGGCTTGATCGAGGAAGAATATTGGTGCCTCTAGCCTCATTCACGACTACACGCTTTGAGTGCTTCCAAACCACCGAGGTTGAGGCAAAGTTCAAGGCCATGCAGAAACGACAAGTTTACTTGGAGGATAACTTTGTCTTCCCTGAGGTTGGCGAATAACCGTTTTGGCTGGAAGTAATGGACATCATCCGAAAGCATAAATGGGAGAAATTCACCCGGCACCCAAAGGCGTTGGTGCAAGCCATGGTCCGAGAGTTTTATGCCCACCTAGGTAACCCATCCCAGCACACTGTGTACGATAGAGAGAAATCCATCCGGTTCACTCCATCAGCCTTAAACTGCTACTTTAAGTTTGACAATATGGAGGATCACCATAAAAAATTTCTTGTCGAGGCAGATTCAGAGACATATGATGGTGTACTAGAGGATTTGTGTTCGGCTGGGCGAAGTTTGAAGAGTACACCCAACCGGAAACATGTGGATTGTCGAGCCCTTAAGCTAGTAACCAAACTGTGGAACCACTTTTTAAAAGGCAAGGTGATACCTACCTCGCACAACAAAACAATATTGGTGGTACTTAATGCTACTCCATTAAATCATCTACGGGCACACAATCGATAGGGTGAGATAATTTTTTAGTAGATCCATAAGTGAGCAAAGAGGACCCGAGGTAATCTAGTTTTTCCCAATTTAATCACCGCTTTGAGCAGTACAAAAAGGTCCCTAAGGAACATTTCGAGGAATTTATCAAGTCGAAGGAAGACATCACTAAAAAGAATGTGTCGAGCTTATGAGTTTTGATGACAATGCTCCACACGAGGGCTTGGGTATTTTTACTTAGGTTATTGTTTGCCTAAAAGCCATTTACATATCACTTTAGTTGTATTTAGTTGCATGTAGTATATATTTGCATGTTGGTTGGTTGTGTTGATGTAGGAAATGACGAAGGAGAAATTTATTTGCCGAGACAGAGCAATTCTCCAAGGCTAGAGGAACACAAGAAGGCGATAGAGAGGAATAAATTTTCTTGCCAAGGCAAGATTTATCTTGTAAGTCTGATGTGGCTCAACAGAACTGCTAACGTCACTTGCCCAGCTTCATCCTCACCTGCAATCATGCCCTCATCAAGGAAATTGACCACTTCCAATTGCTATGTCATTTATAAAATGAGTATGTCAATAAGGGTATTTAGGAAATTTCCAAGGGTATTAAACCCTAAAAATTTCCATTATAAATACCCCATCATAGCTTTTCAAAAGGCGACGTAATCAAGGAGAAAATATATCCTAGGTTTGGAGTAAGTGGCTGCAACACTATACTTTTCACCGTTCTCACTCGACCGTCCTTGGTACCTCCATATTTGGGCTTTATCGGAGCAACGACTAGACCCTCAAGAAAGGCCAACCACTGAAGCAGGTGTGGTGGTGGTCAAAATGTCACAACAGAGCTCTTATTTTGGGTGCGTTTCTTCCCTTGTTCTTCGTATTCATATCCTGTTAAGGGTTGTACTTAAAAGAATTATTTGTGGATTATATTCACCGCACCATGAACTGTTTTACTTGGTGTTGGTTATTATTTTGTTGAATGTTATTTGCTTGTTAATGATGATGCAGTTTGTTTTATTCTAAGTGTTGTTTTATTCACTGTTTAAATATTTTGCCTTAACATTGTAAGAGCTTTTGAGATATTATCTGGTGCCCCGACATAACATTCTTGGACTTTGTAAGAGCTTTCGAGAGATTACCATTTTTCTAGGAATAAATGTCTAATATCGAGAGAGTTAGGGTAGATCTACGTGAACAACAGAACTAATCCGAGATGATGAGGTTCTAATCTGCCTTAGAGATAAGAAAAAGGGTTTTATTCAGCTAAAAGGGGTAAATACTTGAGTAAGATAGGCAAAGAATATAGTTTACGCTGAGAGGTATTGCCACAACAACAGTTTGACAAACCAAGGGTTTTAGCTCACACTGAGTAGTATTGTCGTAGCAACCGTCCTAGAATACTCTAGTAATCCTATCGGGCAGCCTAAACATAACACACTAAATCATTCTTAGCATGACATAACTTCTCTCAATAGCAAAACCAACCTAAGTGCTCCGTAAGAAGTTTGATTGTGTGAGTTTTATTCTAAATATATTGAACCAACTTGTGGCACATAGTTCTAGTTGAGCAAAACATCAAAAATTCCCACCAATCTATGAGGAGACGATACTCAACTTACTACTATATTACTTGCATCGATTGTGTACACTTGCACATATTTGCTTGCCTTAGAATATACATTTACTAGCGATCACCCATTGATCAATAACCCTATGAAATTGCGACCAATCGACGGTCAATCAGTGTTTGTACCTCGACGAACCCTACGTAGCAAATTACGACTCCACGCGATCCTGACGGTCAATCGATCACAAGTATAATGATGTATAACTAGGAAGATGTCAAAGACTACGTTGGCGGTAGTGATTGTGGCCAACAAGGATGATGTTGGTAGGTTAGGGTTAGAGATTTAAGATTTTTAGGAATTTGTTTTTTTTGTAATTTAAGAAAAATTAGAGTTTTGATAAATATAATATCATTTTTAAATTTTAAAAAAATAAAATTTTCAAAATTACCAGAACATGACATGTTTCACTTAACGGAGAAATTTAACGACAGTTATGACTCAAGCACCTAAAGTGATAATGTTTGTAACGTTGGACACTTGGATTATTTAAAAAAAAGTTTGGACACCTATTTGGGAAAGTGGTATAGTTTGGGCACTTACTTTATAATTAAGCCTTAATTTTTTTTAAGGATGAATAGTTAAGATGGTACCAACCCATAATATTAGTGGTGCTTTTTAAAAAGTAGTTGGGTTAGAGTTTGTTTCGTTTTCTATAAATCATATCAACTTTTTCTTCTTTGATTTTTTTAGCCGGCGGCGTCGTGTGTCGTAGTTTTTTTAATAAGATCAATTATGTCTTTGTGACACATTTTTCTATGCGTTCGTGACACGTTTTTCATTTTCTTTCGTAGTTGTTTGATCATTCTTTTATTTATGTTTTCTCATAGTGGTATTTGACAACATCACGACTAATCAAGATGACGTTTATTTGTACTTTTGTTAATATTCCTTGCTATGGAGCATTCAATTGAATTTGGATACACGATTTTGCATTAGTAGATATTTTCTCACAACGTTTGGCTTTGATTTACGGTTCTTGATGGCTTTTCAATAGTTTAATCTCATTTTGTGGTTTATTTACTGATGTAGTTCGTATCTCTATTTTGTTCGAGTCTTTTGGTTAAGTTTTTAATATTTTTCATGTGTGGTCCTTATATAATCTAAAATATTATAGATAAATATAAAAATTATATATTTATGATAATTGTAAATCATTATTGTAATTTTGTTATATTTTAATGTTTTAATAATACTAGCCGCCTTTATTAAAAAAAAGAAAAGTAGTTGGGCGTCACTAGTTTACCCAAATTTATAATTTATAAAATTTATTTAATAATTGATTATCAATGAGTAATCTAATGTCTATATTTAAAATACATTTATTTTTAGGGTAAACTACGTCAGATGTCACTGAATTTTAAGCGTTAACTCATTTATACCATCAAACTTTTAATTTTATCAATTTTAGCACTAACATTTATTTTTAAGTACAATATTAATCCGTCGTTAATAACTTAATGGAATGATGACATGACAATTGTATGTCTTGCCATTGCTGATGTGACCCTCTCACAAAAAACGATGTCATTTTATTAGAGTTATTTAATAAAAATTTGCTTTTCATGAGATTTAAATCATTGATCTCCATAAGCCAATGCTAAACACTCAATTACTAAGCTAACATAATAAATTGTTATATTCTTAACAAAGTTAAATAGCAATTTAGATTAATTTACTTATTTAATAATATTTTTATAATTATATCATTTTATAAATATTATTTTTCTAATTATCCTCACACTTATAGCATATCTATCCCCAACATCAACCCTTTTGTTTTGCTTAATTCTTATCTTCTTCCCGCTCCTTTATGTGGTTCCAACGTCAACACCTCCGAATAGTTATCTATTTTTTTATTGTGTTCATTTTAAAATTTTATTTATGTACTTCGCACATAGATTTTTTTTATTATTAATATATATGTATATAGCGTTAAAAATATTTTTGAATTCGTTAGTGACGATAGACAACCAGCTGAATGGAGGAAAAACAAAGTAAGATGGGTTTATGGTTAGCGGGCTAACAATCAAATTTGGGCAGAAATCTATGGACCAAAAACAAGATCCGTTAAACCATCCCATCCCATCCCAACGACATCTCTATCAAGTCAAAGTTAATCAAAATAAGCGTCCCTTATTTCCATATGTAAAATTAAAAGGCTTAAGAATGTCTTCAAAGACATTTTTATATCCGAAAAAATTTCGTTAAAAATATATGTTTAAAATTATTTTTATTATATTTTTAAGCATCTATCGTTTAAAAAATAATTAACTGATACGTATCACATTTAGAATTTTTAAAAATTTACTTTTAGACATCAAAAAGTTAATTTTGAATATAATATTAATATTTTTTTATATTGCCAAATTAAAATAATAATACTTGGAACTCAGCAGCATAGTCTTTTCGAAGCGGCTTTCGGTTTAGCTTCAGATCCGAGCATCGTTGGGCGATAATCATGTCATCTTCCGTATTCTCCACCGTTCGGTCATCATTCTCTCTTCTCGCCTTTATTTTTCTATTCATTTCTCCGGTTTTCGCTTCCGAGTCAGATCACAAGGTATAATCTCTTGCCTCTGCTCTTATCCCTAACGGTGACAGTTTAGATATGCCTCTTTTTTCGTGTAATTCTCTTCGTCTATTTCAACTCAGATCTGTGCACTTTCTAGTTGTTAGGTTCGTGTATTGCCGTTGATTTTAACAAATTCGCGATTTAAGTGTCATTTGGGGCGTTTATTATACCAAAAAATATTGTTACTATGTTGTTTCCATTATCAGGTAAAAAATGTGGATCTCTGATGTATTGTTTCTTAATGTAAGTTATCTACAATATGCTCGAAACATGTGATGTAAAAGTTGTTATGCACGCTTCACGCTTGAACTGTATCATTTCCGTGTTCAGTTTAGGCAGCTAAGTTGCAGTCAAGGTAAGTCAGATTGTTGCGAACCTGGTATGGAGATGTTTTATCAATTTCATTCGTTCATGTCTAAAAATAGTTCTGAGCATTTTCCAGCTCTTTGTTAGTTGAGTTAATTATTATTCTTTTTAATTGGTTTTCAATCTGATCTTCTTGAAAGAGTTAGACAGAGTTCACTGTGATATAATTGTGGAAACTATCTGATATCTTTGTATTTGCATGATTAATGCCCTGCCGTTTTAAGCTTTACCATAATAGCTGGTGAAATGCGTCATCTGGAATAGTGAGAAAGAATATTATTGATATTTGCAGCCTTCTGTCCTTTATTAGGTATAAGGTCATGCTTTTCTCGAATACCCTGGGTGAGTAGATTGGAAATTTGTTTATACAATTTCTGATGATTGATATTGAGTCAAAAAAAATTCTGATGATTTGAAATTTTTATTTGAGTTGTTTGGGTTTGTATGCTTGATGGAAATTTTCAAAGTATCATTCTGAATTCCAGTCTCTCTTGAGATCAATGTTCCATCATCATTTCCTGTGTATTTCGTTGTATTAAATTTAAAATCACATTTTTTCTCAGTAAGAAATTAAGATTACATATGTAGATTTTTGTTGTTGTTGTTGTTAGATTTCTTTAATAAATGTATTGTGTTCCTCTACTTCAATTGTCATGTGTAAATTTTATCAACTCTCCTCTTGTTACTCCTTGCAGTATCAACCTGATGATCCAGTTACTTTATGGGTGAATAAAGTTGGTCCGTATAACAATCCACAAGAAACATATAACTATTACAGCCTTCCTTTTTGTCGTCCGGGAACTAATCCGGCTCACAAATGGGGTGGTCTTGGTGAGGTCCTTGGTGGAAATGAACTGATCGATAGCCAAATTGATATAAAGTTCCAAAGTACGCATCTTTTTCATTGCTAGACTATTAATTTGAATGTTGTAAGTTCTTTAATAACATTTTTTCCATGTCTTTAACTTTAATATTTTATTTTGCTCCACTTGGGTTGTTCTTCAACAGAGAATGTGGACAAGGGTACCATTTGTCGACTGGAACTTGATGAAGCAAAGGTCAAAGAGTTCGAGGATGCAATTGAGAACAGTTATTGGCTTGAATTCTTCATGGGTATGTTTAACTTTTCATTGTATTAAATAAAACTAGTAACTGTACACAAATAGAGCTAGAAAGATATTGATACTTGGCAGGTCAGATGAGTACCGAAAATAACATGATTTGAACGCTTCTGTTTGTGGGGGTGGGAGTTGTGGTGACAGTGAAAAATCTAAGGCCATTCATGCTTTCGGAGGAGCATGCTCCATAATTAACCACCTAAAATGCTCTATGCATGTTGCGAATTGGGTAGATGATGGATGTGGATAAGTTTCTGCCATGTTACATGCATTGACTCCAGTAATAGATGGAAATGATATTTATGCACACTTGTCTTTGGTAAAATTGTCTACAAGGTTTCTCCTCCCCTGATCCATTTCTAAGAAAGTGTCTTTCGCCTGAAGTCATCAAACTCTTATGCCAATCACCTAATCACCCAGGCTTTTTTTTCCATGATGCAAAGAAAAACAAAGTTTTCTTATTTGCACCATAAAAATCTTACGGACCATTGTTGTTGTATGGTTATGGATTATTGCATAATGCAAGCTACAAATACATTTGAAATCATGTATCTAGAGCTGAAAAGTGAGGATCTATAGGTGCTTTCTCTTGGTATGATATGGCTGATTGCAGGGTTTAAGGGTAATTTTGTTGAGGTGGCTTGTTTTGATTGAGCACTTACTCTTCTTTGCCTTCTTGTTGATGCCATGTTTCTGCGCTTCGCAATGCTGGAATTTCAGATGACCTGCCTTTATGGGGTAAGCATTATCCACTTTCTCTTCCATCTCTTCTGTTCACTAATCCTTATATGGCTTGATACTGAAGAATTTATCTTAAACTTTTTAGGCTTTGTTGGCGAGCTGCATCCTGATAAGAACAGTGATAATGGAAAGCATGTCATCTACACACATAAGAATATTGTTATTAAATACAATAAGAATCAGGTTTGTGATTCCTTATATATATATATGTATGCTTCCATTCTGTATTTTTGGATCTGCTGTTGTTATTGACCACAGTTCATTCTTGTAGATTATTCATGTCAATCTCACTCAGGAGAGTCCGAAACCTCTGGAAGCAGGGAGAATATTAGACTTGACATATTCTATCAAATGGATTCCAACTAATGTCACTTTTGCGCGTCGCTTTGATGTCTATTTAGACTATCCTTTTTTGAGCATCAAGTATGTACTGTTATTGGTGTTTGCTTTCTTCTTCATTTGACCTTTTTTTTTCTTTTTTCTCTGCATTAAAATTTTCATTTATCTTCATAAGTCTTGCATTGGGTTATTATGTTTTCTTGTAATTTCCTGACATGTTGCAATATGCAGATCCATTGGTTCTCTGTTTTCAATTCGTTCATGATGGTTATCTTCCTCACGGGTTTGGTGTCAATGATCTTGATGCGGACTCTGAGAAATGACTATGCTAAGTATGCTCGGGAAGATGATGATCTGGAAACTTTGGTGCTGATACCTGAACCTTTCTTTTTCCCTTTTTTTAAGGAAACTTCTGTTTTCTGAACATTCATGTTTTACTTGCTATTTCACCTATGTTTTCAGGAAAGGGATGTGAGTGAAGAGTCTGGTTGGAAACTTGTCCATGGTGATGTTTTCCGGCCACCTTATAATTTGGCTCTGCTTTCTGCTGTTGTTGGCACAGGAGCCCAGTTAGTGTTGCTTGTTCTCCTTGTCATCTTATTGGCAATTGTGGGAACATTGTATGTCGGGTATGTTGAGAAGCTAGTATGAACTCGAAGCTCGTGGGAGTTGTAAACAACAGAGCATACATATTTGTTCCTCTTGGACCCCAGTTTTATGCATATAAAGTCAGCATGAATGCATGGAGCTCTTCATGGGATCCCCTGTATTTCTGAGTCTTTCTTTTCTATAGCATAGTTAGGGTTGACCGTAGTGTTTTTTAATTCATGTTCTGAATTGCATTGCTATTTGCTTTCCATTTCATCTCAGCTTCTTGACTATTAATAATCTTATATATTGATTATTTTATTCAGGAGAGGAGCAATTGTCACAACTTTTATACTGTGTTATGCTTTTACATCGTTCATTTCTGGTTATGTGAGTGGTGGGATGTACTCACGCAATGGGGTATGTGCTTTATCCTTTAGCAATTCTCGTTTGCATATGTTCTCTCTACTTATGGATCATTCATTCTAAAAGCTTGGGTTCTTTTGTTGCAGGTAAAAGTTGGATAAAGTCAATGATCCTTACTGCGTGTCTGTTCCCATTTATGTGCTTTGGGATTGGTTTCATCTTGAACACAATCGCTATCTTTTATGGATCCCTAGCAGCCATTCCTTTTGGTACAATGGTGGTTGTATTTGTAATTTGGGCTTTCATTTCATTCCCCCTGGCCCTTCTTGGTACAGTTGTTGGAAGAAACTGGAGTGGTGCTCCAAATAATCCATGCCGGGTGAAGACCATTCCTCGCCCCATTCCAGAGAAGAAATGGTACCTGACCCCCTCCGTGGTGTCTTTGATGGGAGGACTTCTGCCATTTGGCAGCATATTTATCGAAATGTATTTTATCTTCACGTCCTTCTGGAATTACAAGGTGAACTTCTTTCTCCCTGGTTTTAATTGTTTGATGATGCACTAAACCACATTTGCTGTTATTTGTATCAAATATTTTTGGTTGATTATTTGCTTAGTTTTTTGAGTAGAATGATTTAGATATTTTTGTGTTCTTCAGGTATATTATGTGTATGGCTTCATGCTGCTGGTCTTCCTGATTCTTGTCATTGTAACCGTTTGTGTGACAATTGTGGGGACATATTTCTTGCTAAATGCTGAGAACTATCACTGGCAGTGGACATCATTCTTCTCTGCCGCCTCAACAGCAGTCTATGTGTATCTGTACTCCATATACTATTACCACGTGAAAACCAAGATGTCGGGCTTCTTTCAAACCAGCTTCTACTTCGGATATACTTTGATGTTTTGTCTTGGTTTGGGAATTCTCTGCGGTGAGTTTTGAAATATATAAAAATAATTCATCTTTATAAATAAGGTTATTCTCCCTTTTGTTATACGAGCATTCCAAATAACTATTTTCTCGCATGACATATTCAGTGGAAATGAGTATGTCCTTAATCTTCTAGTGTCTGTGTACTTGAAAAATTCCCAAAATTTCTTGATTGTTTTCCTTGGTTGAAATTTTTTAATTTCTAAAATGTCTGTATATCGTCCAGGATTTTGTGATGCATCAAGCATTTTTCTCTTGTTTTTCTATTGGAGTTTGAGTAGCTGATTTCATTATAACTTCAAAAGAAATAAGAGTGCATGTTTGCTTGTTTATTATCTCTGTTGCTGTTTAACTGGGTACTCTCTGTATTGTTGTGCCAGATAGCAGTGGAGTTTATGGCGTCGTCTAATACTCTATTTCATTTTCTATGTTCAGGGGCCGTAGGTTATATTGGTTCCAATTTGTTCGTACGGAGGATCTATAGAAACATCAAGTGTGACTAGAGCTTCACTGTCGGGAAGTTGAACCTTCAGCACTTTCTAATCGTCGAGGCGATAAGTGCTGATAGGAAGCTTTCTGATCAGGTATGGGGAACACAGCAAATCCTATTGATGAAATCACATAGTTTCATGGTAAACATGTATTCTTGGTACTATGGAACGGGGAAAGCCCAGAGATTTTTGTATCGCATCTTTTTATTTTTATTTTTTATTCTGTCTGTAACTTGAAGCTCTGATTTAGATTTCAGATATTGTTTTATAATTCAGAAGCTAGCTAACGTATTAGTGTCTTTTCTACTTGTTATGGATTTGCCCTTCACCCCTTTGCCGTCTAGGAATGAATTGTTAAAAGTTAAAACCTCAAAAAATTGATGCCCAAACCGTTTGCCGATATCACTCTTTAACTTCTTTTCTTTTACCTTCTTCACGGATCAGATTTTCGGCAGGTGAACTATTGGAGTGATTACTTTTGTTTTAATTTTGTTCACTTTTGGTTATCGATCTTGATAAAGTTATGTTTGATCATTTTATCGATTTATTAACTTTTGATTAATTACATTATTGTTTGTTGTATTTTGGTCACCGTACAATTAATTCATGTTAATTTAATAACGTGATACGTTAGTAAAGAGATTAATTTTTAATTTGACTCATGAACTTTATATAAAATACTATTATGACCTTCAGATTTTTGATAAAATGTTATTTTAACTTTTAAATTTTAGATAAAATATTAAATTGACCTTTAATTCAACAAAGTTTTTCGTTGTCAGACATCATTTACTGTTATCGTCGGTGATTGGTGACTGTTAACCCCAAAGCATCAACTCACATTTTTTGATTTCTTGAACTCATATTCAATGTCAATTTCATTAAAAAGTACATTGAACTCAATCTATCTAGTTTTTTTTTTAAAATTTAATCATAACAATAAATTCATTTTAATATTTTTTTAAAATAAGGACACCAAAAATTTAATTATGTCATAATTAAATCTATATTTTTTTATTCATGATATTGTTATGTTATAATTTTTTGGATAGATTTATAATATTTATTGAATAAATTAATAATTAAAATATATCCGTACATAATAATTAGGAATGATATGATTTCAACCTAAAATGTCAGCTTTCGATTTAAAATACTTGGGGTCGCAGTTTCACTAACAGCCGTGATTTCCACTTCATCTCTTCTGCTTGAGATGTTGAATGAACTCCATATAGCACATATAACACAGTTATCAAACCTGCCCGTATAGTAAACCTTTCGATCGATAGCAATTTTAATGTTGTCACGAGAAAAAATTAAGGAAATAAAAATGACAGCCGACCACGACATCAACGATATCGACCACTCACTAGGCGGACTGGCAGAGCTATGGATAATGGGCGGTGTTATGAAAGAAGACCGTAAAGACGATCATGATCCCACCGGATATCGGGAAACCCCACCATTTCCGTTTCGTTTTCCACGAAACCCAAAAGTTGACCGCGGTTAATATTAAATTTTTATATATCTAAAAAAATTATTAAGAGATTTACCTGGGTAAATTAGATATGTAAGGGGTCTATAAGTTGGAGTCTGAGGAAGCTGTTTCAGATCAGGGGTGTGGTTGCTATTTACTTTGCTAGGGTTACAAACTTGGCTGCTGTTAAGACTAGGATGATCTCGGAGGAGCTTAGGGAAAGGAGTGTGAGGGTTTCTAGGCATAAGTTGGTTTGGTCCCCTGAACATGTGCGTAGCACTCGGTGATTGTCTGGCTAACTATTCTGGATATCTACTAAGGATATTATTGTAAATAACAATAGTTAGTTATAATGGTTAGGGAGCTTAGATGTTAGTTAGGGTCTTGAACTTGTATAAAAGGTGTGCAGATTTGTAAAGTTATTCATAATGAAATAAAATGTTTTCAAGTGTTCTTTTATGCTCTTCTATGGATTAAACATGGTATCAGAGGTAATACTCGATCCATATCTCGTTTTGGGACTTTTTTGTTTTCTTGGCCCATCTCCATTACACTGTTTCTCTTCTGTTTTGTTATTCGCGTTCTCCCTTGTGAGATTTGAGTTTGTGTTTCCTGTTTTCCCTTTTTCGTTTTCTGATGGAGAATCCGATTGATTTCTCACATCCGTTGTACTTGCATCCCTCGGACACGCTGGGGTGTCTTCTTGTTTCGCATCAGCTCACCGGCGTGGATAATTACTGTCTGTGGAGCTGATACTGAACAATATGCTCAGTTGATGAGTCTCTTGCAGAAGGAATCCTCTGTTGCTGCAGTTAATACTGCAAAGTGCAAATACAGCTTCTAACCATTCATTTTCTTCCTCTATCACCTGGATTTTGGATACTAGTGCCACTGACCATAAGGTATGTGGTATTCAAAGCTTGAATCATTTTGTTCTTCTTCTCGCCTCGTTCATCTTCCTGATGGTAAATTTTCTCCTGTTTCTCATATTGGTTCTGTGTTTCTTGATTCGGATCATGTCCTTCATAACGTGTTATATGTTCCTTGTTTTACCCTCAACTTGCTGTTCGTTTCCAAGTTAACTATTGAGTTGAATTTTTCGATTGTTTTTTACCCTGACTTTTGTGTCTCAGGATCTCTCAACTGGCACGATGATGGGGATTGGTAGGAGGTCTGGTGACTTGTATGTTTTTGAATTCTCTGTTTCTAGTTCGGTTTTACGTTTGTCTGGTTATATATCGAAATGTATGTCCTTTTTCTTATGATAATAAAACTGCTGATATCTGGCATTCTCGGTTTGGTCATGCCTCTATATCTACTTTGAATAAACTTCATTTGCATTCGAATGCTAAAATTGATCATGATTTGTTGCATTCATATCTTGTTTGTCCTTTAGCCAAACAATGTCGATTGCCTTTTCCTTTGAGTCAAACCCGTTCTGATCAACCTTTTAATTTGATTCACATTGATTTATGGGGGCCTTACCATATACCTACAAATTTTGGTCAGCGTTTTTTCTTTACTGTTGTTGATGACCACTCTAGGGTTACTTGGGTTTTTGTGTTGAAGCTGAAATCCGATGCTTATCTTTCTCTTAAGAATTTCTTATCCTTTGTTAAAACTCAGTTTAGTGCTACTGTCAAGATTATTTGTAGTGATAACGGGTCAGAATTTTTTATACTGGGTGCTCTCAGCTCTTTACTTCCTTAGGAATTTTGCATCAAACCTCTTGTGTTCGCACTCCGTAGCAAAATAGAGTTGCTGAATGAAAACATCGACACTTGTTGGAAGTAGCACGGGCTCTTCGTTTTCAATCCCAAGTTTCTGTTAAATTATGGGGTCACTGTGTGTTAACAATCTGCTATCTCATAAATAGACTGCCCTCATCCGTTCTTGATTGGAAATCTCCTCTTAAGGTTCTTAAGCAAAAGCAACCTTCACTTTCTCACCTTAAAATTTTTTGTTGTTTATGTTACGCTACCCAAACTAATTCTGTTGATAAGTTTTCTCCAAGGGTCATTCCTTCTGTTTTTATGGGTTACTCTTTGACTCAGAAGGCTTATATTTTGTTTTGTTTAGTTACCAAGACTTTTTTTGTAAATAGGGATGTTTGTTTTTTTAACATATTTTTCCTTTTCGATCTATGACAGAATCTATTCCTAATCTTTTTCCTTCTCAACCATTTGTCTCTGATTTTGATTTCTTAGTGATTCCCTCTTCACAACAATAAACTTCACCAAATCCTACTACCATATCTTCTCCACCTTTGTTTTCTGATGATTTAATTTTCCCATCTCAACCTTCTGAATCGAATTTATCAGCTTCAACAGAACCCCCTATCCAGTCTGTTTCTGTTCCTGTTGCCGAGCCTCGAAAGTCGTCTAAAGCCTCCTACTTGGGTGAAAGATTATGTTACCTCACCTTCTTGCCAATCCTCTAATGCAGGCCAGCATCATATTTCTTCTTCATTTTCTTATTCTCATTTGCCTCCTCATACACAATCTTTTGTTTCTTTGTCTTCTGCCATTGTTGAACCCACTCCTTATTCTCAAGTTGTTAAGGACTTTTTATGGGTTCAAGCCATGAAAGATGAAATTCATGCTTTGGAATAAAACAACACTTGGTCTATTGTACCATTGCTTAAAGGAAAGGTCCCCATAGGCTGCAAGTGAGTGTACAAGGTTAAACTCAATGCTTCTGGGAAATTGAGCCTTATAAAGCCCACCTCGTTGCTTAAAAGATACACTCAACATGAGGGTGTAGATTATGGTGACACCTTCTCGCCTGTTGCAAAGTTCATTACTATTCGCACAGTTCTAGCTGTTGCTGCTGTGCTTAATTGGACCATTTTTCAGATGGATGTCTCGAATGCCTTTCTTCAGGGCAATCCGGATGAAGAAGTTTATATGAGTCTGCCTGAAGGTTTTTGCAGTCATGGGGAGCAGCGGGTTTGTAGACTACAAAAATCGCTTTATGGTTTAAAGCAAGCGTCGAGACAATGGAATGCAAGGCTCATGGATGCCTTGATTTCAGATGGGTATCAGCAGAGTAAGAGTGACTATTCACTCTTCTCGAAGGAGGGAACAAAGATAATTGTGTTACTTGTGTATGTTGACAGATCTACTATTAACAGGGAATGATGCTGCAATGATTGAAGATCTGAAAAAGTATCTTGCATTGTCATTTCAAAAACAAAGACTTGGGGGTCTTGACGTTCTTTCTCGGCTTTGAGATTTACAGGTCACAAGAAAAGATTTTGATGGGCCAAAGGAAATATGCCATGGATTTAATAGAGGATATTGGCCTAGGGGGAGCTAAGCCAGCTGCTACGCCTATGGAACAACATGTAAAATTTACATCAGTCGAGTTTGATGAAGGTAAGCAGCGAACAGACCGTGTGCAGCAAACAGGCCAGGATAAAGTTTTGGTAACAGAAAAGGCGATGTTTCAGAGGTTAATTGGAAGGTTAATTTATTTAACCCATACGAGGCCTGATATTATGTATACTGTGCATCATTTGAGCCAATTTTTACAGCATCCCAAGAGGTCCCATTTAGAAGCTGCTCTTCGGGGTTGCAGACACATAAAAAGGCTCATGGTCAAGGAATGCTTCGCTCGACTCGTACTACACAAATGCAAGCTTACTGTGATGCTGATTGGGGTTCTTGCTTAATGACAAGAATGTCGATCGCAGGCTATTGCGTAAAGATTGGCAATTCCTTAGTTTCTTGGAAATTGAAGAAGCAGAACACAATTGCTCGCTCTTCTGCAGAAGCGGAGTATATAAGCATGGCTGCAACAGCTTCTGAAATTGTTTGGCTAAAAGGGTTTTTGAAGGAACTTGGGGAAGATGTTTCGACATCGATTGTGTTGTATTGTGATAGCAAAGTGGCCTTACAGATTGCAGTGAATTCGATTTTCCATGAAAGAATGAAGCACGTGGAAATTGATTGCCTCTTTGTGAGAGAGAAAATACAAGAAGGATTGATTCAGACAGCTCATGTTAGTTTACAAAATCAGCTTGCAGACATAATGACTAAGGCTCTAGGAGTTCAACAACATAATTTCCTTTTGTCTAATTTGGGAGTTAAAAATATTTTTTACCCACCAACTTGAGGGGAGTGTTGTAAATAACAATAGTTAGTTACAGTGGTTAGGGAGGTTAGATATTAGTTAGGGTCTTGAACTTGTATAAAAGGTGTGCAGATTTGTAAAGTTATTCATAATGAAAAAAATATTTTCAAGTATTCTTTTATGTTCTATGGATTTAACAGATAAGGTTGCGAGGATGGGGACTACGGATCCTGGGGTTGTTGTCTTTGTGGTGCTGCTGAGGGACCACCTATTTTTTTGGATGTGTCTTTTCAAGGGGTGTTTGGGAGGCAGCTTTGAGACTGTATGGGTTGATACAGGAGTAGGGATGTAAAATCAGGTAATCGGACATGTTTTAGTCGAATCTTGGTAGGTCGGGTAAAATTGGGTATAGGTCAATTCAAGTTGATTTGACATCAGATTCAGATCGGGTTCAGGTCAGGTCAAATCAGTTCGGGTTATTTTCAGGTTGATTTGACACCAGATCCAGATTGGGTTCAGGTCGGGTCATTTTCAGTTCGGATCGATGTCAATTTAGGTAAAAACAATTCAGGTCCGAAGCAGATAAAGGTCAGGTTAATTCAGGTTCGGGTTGACTTCGGTCGGATCTCGTTCAGATCGGGTCACATCATTGACAGATAAAATTCAGGTCGGATGTTTATCGGATACGGATTGAGTTCAGGTCAGGTCGTTTTCATTTTTTGGATTAATTATTTTGTCATCTTTCGTGATTGTTGAATTGAAAGTTGTAATTGTATATGATTTCGAGTAAATTAAGAGAAAAATAAATATTCATGGATCAATTTTGTAAACAAATATAAATTTAATGACAAAATTGAAGAAATGTAAAATTACAAATAAAATCTTAAAATATAAATTAAACAACACACATAGGTAAGGGACTAAATCGAAATAAATTTAAAATGTGAGGTTTAAATTAATATAAAAAATGACTAAATTAAACACATTTAAAAAATTATGGGTAATTTACAAAAATATAAATAAATAACAACTAACAATGGAATATGCAAATATAAATTTAAGGACTAAATTGAATACATATAAAAGTTAAAGACTTAAAATTGAAATAAATTAAAAAACATAAAAGGATTAAATCGAAATAAATGCAAAATGTGAAGAAATAATGAAAAATATACTAACTTGCATTCATTCAAAAAAATTGAAAAAATATAATATATATAATATAAAATTATATATAAACTATATTTATATTATAAACTATATAATTATTATAAACTATATATATAAATTATATTTATGTGCACTATATATATAAACTATGTATATAAACTATATTTATATTATAAACTATATAATTATTATAAGCTATATATATAAATTATGTATATAAACTATATATGTATAAACTATAAAAAGTATATAGTTTATAAAATATTATTTATATTAATATAGTATATATATAAAAAACTATATATGTATAAATTATATAAAATATATAGTTTATCTGTTATAATTTATATTTATATAGTATATATATGTATGTATAACTAATATAAGTAATACATATAATATATATATATATTAAAGAAACACTATGCATAAACTATATAAAGTAATAAATTATATAGTTTATAAAAATCCTAAACCCTATACCCTAAAACATAAACCCTAATTCATATATAATTTATATAAACAATAGATTATATAAATTATATATGTAACGTTAACCTATAGTCTATAAACAATAGTTAATATATGTAACTTATAGTATATGTATACATGTAAACTATATATGTAACTTATAGTACACATATGTATAAACTATGTAGCATATATATAAATCATATAAAGTAAATTACTTATATAGTTTATAGAAACAATATGCATAAACTATATAAATTAATAAAGTATATATTATATAAAACCCTAAACCCTAAACCAAAATCCTAAACTAAAACCTTAAACCCTAAACCAAAACCCTAAACCCTAAACTCTAAATTTTAAATCTTAAACCCTGATCTATACATCATAAGTCATAAACCCTAAACAATAGTTAATATATATAATGTAACCTATGATATATGTATACATGTAAACTATAAATGTAACTTATAGTACATGTATCATGTATGTATAAACTATGTATAGTGTATATAAACTATGTATATATATAACCTATAGTATATGTATATATACAATCTATTTATATGTTATATAAATTATATATGTAACCTATAGTTTATATTCAATAGTTTATATTAGTGTACTATATAGTTTATACTTTATAACCAATGGTATATAATTTATAAACTATAGTTTATATTAATGTACTATATAGTTTATATTAATGTTAATAAACTATACTATATAATTTATAACATATAATTTATATTAATATTAATGTTATAGACTATATTTTATATTAATATTAATTATAAATTATAAACTATATTATATTAATATAATTTAATATTAATATTAATTATATTAATTATAATTATAATATTAATTATTATAATATTAATTATAAATAGTTAATTAATAAAAATTATATAAAGATGAAATTGAAATAATTTAAATATAACGATTAAATTGAATCATTGATGTTGGACTAAATTGAATAAAAGCAAAAAAGGAACGAAAGTACATTGGCGGTAACCAACAACATAAAATCCCGCCAGTCCAACCTCACGATTCGAACTTATTAATTTCCCATTTCTATAAACCCCGCAATACCCACCACTCCATCGCTTTATCACTCAAAACCCTAGCTAGCCATTCTCTCTTCAAAAGAGAAGCAAAAGAAAAACCCTCCAAAATGCTCGAGCTTAGGCTTGTTCAAGGCTCGCTTCTAAAGAAAGTTTTGGAAGCGATTAAGGACTTGGTGTTGTTACCGGCCCTAGGGGATGCTGTTGGTGTGTTTTCGTTGTCGGCAGTGTCGTCGTTCTGTACTGGCAGCCCCTCTATTCGAACCAAATCCTGCTGCCAATTCATTTTCTTTCAATTCATTTTTTTCCAATTTGTATTCTTTTTTCAGATTGTATATATGATATACTCTTGATTTATAACTAAGACTTTGATCCAATCAAGTTAATTTCAATACAATTCAATGAACAGATACCTTTCAGTTTTAAAAACAATGAAAGCCCCTTTGGTTATTTGACTTATTGGCATGAATTGGTTTGATATTCGATTGTTTCTTGTTTTGGAGAAGTTAGTTAATATTATGGCTCCGAATGATATATGCTAACATCTGTGTTTGCAGGCATGTTATATGGAGGTAGTAAGGAAGCTGCTGCTTCAGTTGTAAGCTTTTTGTTTGCATTAAAAAAGGCTTACAATTTGATGCATAGGGAGTTGCAAGAATGTATGAATTTGATATAATTTGTATACATGTATGTTTTTGTACCTATGTATGATATAATTTGTATACATGTATGTGTGTGTACCTATGCATAATATAATTTATATATAATGGAGATCTTTACAGTCCTGCAATTTTTTTTTTGCATTCATGTGATTGTTCATTTCTTGGTATAGAAATATCTTCAATTTGTTTCATAGGAAGTTGAAAGAATGTTTGAATGTGATATAATTTGTATCTTATGGGTGTGTTTACAATCCTGACAGTTGTTTCCTTTAGTTGCAATCATGTGAGTGTCCTTTCTTTCTTCAAAACTGCTTATGTTTTTATTCTTATTCTACAATGATTTTTTTATTGAAATTTGGGAATTCTTTGGTAGAGCAAAGATGCAGAAGTAATGTTGAAGCTTGGCAGCACTCCAGATAAACGAGAGCAGTATCGGTTGATGCGGAATGCGATGGAAAAAAGGTTTATCCGAGTCACTCGTGGCTCAATTGTAGGTGGAGTTCGACTTGGAATGTTCACTGCTGGATTCTATGGTTTACAAAATTTGTTGGCTGAGAAACGGGGTGTCCATGATGTATTCAATGTTGTTGGTGCTGGTTCTGCAACTGCTGCAACCTTTGGTCTAATTAGTAATGATTCAAACCTTACTAAATGCAATCATTTTCTTATGAGTTCCAGTATAGTTTATCTCTATCATTAACTTCTTTCACAGTTGGAATTGGAGCCTTGGAAACAGAACAAGGATAATATATGATTCTCATCTGTATTTATCTTCTTCCTTTTTCTTTGTTTGTTGATATCTGTAGTGCCTGGGTCTCTTCAATGGCGTGCAAGGAACGTGGTGCTAGGTTCAGTCCTTGGAGCAGCTTTTTGTTTTCCTCTTGGTAATCTATTTGCACGTTGTAATTTCACATTGATATTTTCTTGAATTAGCAGTGAAATGGTCTTCAATAGGCCGTTATGCAACTGCTGTGTAATCAGTTGTTCATTCAATCACGACCCAATGTTACCATAAAAACCTTTAAAGGTGACAGTAAAGGAATCCAATTGCATTTTGTGATGTTACATTGTTCGTGCTGGAAGTTTAGGGTCGGGACCGGGACTGGGCATGTAATATAGGATTTGCATTTTGTGACAAGTTGGATCCACTTGAAGCTTGTTTTTGTTTCATTTTGGTCATCTATCGTAAAAAAATTAACAAAACTGTTATATTTGCTGGATCAAATGGCAAATATCTTACGCTATGAATTATTTACAGGTGTCACAACTATTGCTGGAGGAAAGTCGAATGTTGCAGGATATAGGGATGAGCCTAGTGAGGATGCAAAGTTCTCGAATGATTTTGATGTGGTATATGTTCGACCGACCTGTTCCTTGTTACTTGTTAGTTATCGATAGAGGAAATGCTGCTCTTCGACAAATTTCACTTAACCAAGATGATTGTGATTATCAGTATAGTTCAGTTTCTCCCACAGGTTATTCCCCTATTTGTTTGCTTTTCATCCCAATCATTGGAAACATTAACAATCATCTTCCTCACATCACTTTTTGACATGTTTTTTGTTTCCTCTTCTAGGAGGAAACTAATATGGACATAATTTTCCTTGAAATACTTGAATCAGAATTTGAAATTGTTGCACTCAAAACTTGAGGGACAGTAGACTTTGAATTGAAAAAAAAACATGGTTAAACTCGGTGAAAAGAGGGGCTTCGAGCATTGGGGTTGTGTTTAACGGTATTTGAAACAAATTTTAATTGGTGTTTTTGTTTTTTTGTAGGATGCTTTTGTCCAAAGTAACACATTCTGATTTTGCTTGATATTAATTTTATTTTCATAAACAATGTTGAATGTTTGATTATGTAAGGCTTTAGTAAAGTCGGAAATGTTATAAGATTTGAGAGCTTAATTTTTTTTAATTTTTTCTTCATTTTATTGTATTCAACTTGAGTTAACTCAAATTTTATTCAAATTTTATATTAAATGTTATTTAAATTATCATTATCAATTAAATTTATATTTTATATTATTTTTCATTTATGTTATAATTGTTAGATAATTTTTTGTACAAAAATTAAACGATGTAGTTTATATTTATATTTTAGAGAATTAACCACGTTTAATACTAATATTCATTTATTATCAAATTAATTATCATTTTATTGCCAAAATTATTTATATTAATAATGTAAACCATTAATATATATTATATAATAAATACTTTCATTAGTAATATTATTTTTTCTTTATATAAATTAAACTATATAATTTATATAAATCAAACTATATTAATTTTTTTTTGCATTATTAATAATGTTTTATCTAATTTACATTTAAATAATTTTATTAAATAATTTTATATAATAGGTATATTTATTAATATAATTATCATAATAAAAATTTATTATAACATTTAAAAAATAATCATATTAATATTTAAATTACATCATAAGCTAAAAAACTCATAATTTTATTAAAATCTTATAATTTTGTCCATGGTAATATATAAGTCATGTAAATATCATATCAGATCATTAACAAGTCGGATCATTTACAGGTCAAGTTAAAAACAAGTCAGGTTAAAAACAGGTCAGGTTAAAAACATGTCAGGTTAAAAACAGGTCGGGTAATACCAGTTATTTACCAGGCCAATCTCGGGTTCGGGTTCATATCAGTCAGATGCAGTTCGGGTTCGGGTAACATATTTTCGGTTCAATTCGGGTTCAGGTCGGATGCAGGTCGGGTTCAGATCCACAATTTCCAAGTCCAAATCGGGTTCAGGTCAACACCAGTTCCGACTCGAGTCGGTTTCGGATCGCCACAGTACAGGTCAAAAACAGTTTTGACTTGAGTCGGTTTCAGTCAATTTTACAGGTCGGGCCAGCTTTTTACAGCCCTACACATGAGATTTCTAATTGGGATGATGAGTTGAATTGGGGTTTAGCTAGACTCAAGGAAAAACAATAATGGTGTTCATTTTGAAAATTACTTGGAGTGCTACTATTTACCTTACTTGGCAGGAGTATTTGCTGGTTTTGGTGCTAGGGATGTGGGGGAGGTTTTTGATTCTGTTAAGCTGGTGCAAATTAAGTTTTTTGGGAGACTTGTTAATAGGGGACTTCATGTAAATTCTTTTCTTTGTAATGTTTGGGGAATAATTTAGAGTACTCGTGTTTTTGTAGGGTGCTCTCGTGTTTTTTTAGCAGTTTTTCTGCTTTGTTAGGTAATAAAATGCAAATTATCCACACACAATAAAATAAATATGTGATACAAATGGACTTTAATTAATTAAGTTAAAGCCATGAATAATTGAAAAGGCAAAAAAATATAAAAAAGAGAGAAGAAAACAAAGATGTATAAGCATAACTCATTTACCCATATTTTTTTTGGAGAATACGACATTTACTACGGTGTACTTGGAATTCGTCATCTCGAGGTGACGAGTTTTCGTAAATATTATTTTTAATTGGTCCCCGCGTAGTGGGCTCCATGTAGGCCATTATTTTAATGACATTATAATGACTCATCACGCTGAGGTGATGAGTCTATCTAAAAATGTATTTTTTTTTAAAATTTTTAAAATATAAAATTTATAAATTTTAAAAAAGGGAAAAAATTAGGTTGAACTAGTCACGTCGATGTGACGAGTTTGTTCAAATTCAAAAAATAGTAGGCCTTATCTAGTCGTTGGTTAACATGCAGCAATGATCACTTGGCGAGGTGATGAGTTCGACCAACCATTTTAAATTTTAGCCGTTTATAGTCGTTGAGGGTAAGGTTATAAATAGAGGTTTGGGGTTTTGGTTTTTCACCAACTCTATATCCGAAAAAATTGCAAAAATAATCATACATTTTGTCAAAATCTCGAAAAATGGCAACCCAAGAATATATGTTGCACTTGGATAACGTCCATGTTTTATTGATCTAACGCGGGTCGAATGATGAATGGAATATTCGTAAGTGGGGGATGACAACTAGAGAGCCGCATCATTGAATGATGACATATCTGCATCAATCTGGTATATTTTCAGCCATATTTTTACGTGGCTTCAAGTTATACCCGGTGTTGATCGAGGCTCTGATCGAACATTGATGGATCGAGACACACACGTTCTATTTCCCAAGTGGTGAAACGACGATTACTTTGGAAGACATTGCTTACCAACTCGGTGTTCCGGTGAATGGAGCCCCCGCGGTGAGACAAAACATTTATGAACCCGCGACGTTGGTTTACCAAGTTTTGGGAAAATGGCCACCATTCGACGTCATGAGGGGCTATCGAGTACTATCGAGTAATGATAACATGGTTGGAGTCTGAATTCCAAGTCACGGATGAGTCTACCTAGGCAGAGGTTGTTTTTGCGTCCTGAACATTTCTTCTCCAAGTGATCAGAGAGATATTATTATCGGACAAATATAGTAATTTGGTGCACACACAATATCTGCAATACTTGGAAGACTTCGTTGTATGTCATAATACCAGTTGGGCCTCGACGATTCCTGCATTTATGTACTAGGTGCTTTGCAAGGCTGCAACTATCCAGTCGGGTCGAAAAGCTGTTGTAGGAGAGTGTCTGATACTGCTACAGTTTTGGGCTTGGTATAGCTTCCCGTTTTTTACGCCAATTACATCATCCCCAGTCGAGTTTCCACTAGTTGCAAGGTAATTGTTTAACTTCGTTTATTTAAACTTTGTTTGATTCATAAATTTAATTATTTTTTATTTGTTTATAATATTTTAGATGGCGTTATAAAATATCCGAGACGAAGTTGGCAGGTGCCACTATACGAGATATACGGATGAGGATCGACATCACCGGTCGATTAGCGATATGACATACGATATTTTTATTTTTTTTAATTTTTTTAACTTTATATATACTAACTTTGATATTTAATATTTACAATTTGCTTGGCTTTCTTATGTCGATCAGGAGATCAACCAGATATTGTCAGGGGGATTTCTTGAGGGGTCCCACTTATGTTGTGCCATGATGCCGTTGTTGCACCAATCGATTATTGAGTGGCATACCGCTAATAGAGTTATGCGACAATTTGCGTCGCACTAGCCGTGTAACACCGTATACCAGTATAACATATAGTCGGTCGATTTAAGATGCCACACGAAACCACCGGAGTGGCTGACCAACTCTTTACTCATTTCTTGTACTTTAAAACGACCATTTTTATAACATAAAAACATCCATAAAATAAAATATACTTTAAAATTTATATCTGAGAGCTCTCAAAATAAATAAATATATTTAAAAAATATAAAGACCAACTCTTAACTGACTTTACAACTCAGTACAACTGGGTTTATGAATATACATGCACTTTAAGAAACTTGATGACATACTCTTCTCTGAAACTGGACCTCGATCACTTTGATTCTCTCGAACTGAATAATATACTAACCTGCCAATGGAAAAATTCGAAGGCTGAGCTAACTAGCTTAGTGCCACACTAACAACTAGCTCATACTAAAAGTGCATCACTGAAATACATCAAGCTATTCAATCTCAAACATTAGCGAGCATCCTCGTGATACTCACTCTCTACTCTAGGGTAAACATCATGGTGCGGTTGAGGGATCTCTGCATCTTGGAGCTCACACACTCCTATAGTTTACCGAGGTTGGTTACCAAAAATCTCTACATCGATCAACCTCCTCGACTAACCCACACCTCGCGGTGTCGGACCTCGTGCCCTAGTTAGTCAATTTAAAGTGCCTCAGGCACTACCTAAGGGTATCCGGACTGTATATATACTTTCGACAACTCTAGCTTTTTTAAAGGAACTCGGGTGTCCTGGTTGTTTCCCTAGCATTCAAGTAAGGTTATTCTTATTTGATCCTACTTTATTCTCATTTCTACGTTTGAATTAATCATTATTATTGTTATCACTTGTAGTCTTATTTGGGAGTAATTAAAGTTTTTGGGAAAAACGTCACCTATCTCTAAAACATCACTTTTTTACTTCTCAACACAAAGCCTTGGTATTGATACAAGCCTTATAGTATCGATACTACCTCTAAAATTCTCTTTGCTCTAAGGCCCAAACATACCTTAGTATCGATAATGGCCTTACAGTATCAATACCCTACCTAGGGTATCGATACCCCTTACTGAAATGTCTTGAAAGAAAAAGAGAAGTATTGATTCTCCTATATAAGTATTGATACTGGGACCCTGGGTATCGATACTCTCTAGAGTACCGATACCAAAATGGCATTCTGGAATCCTGGTCTCGATGCCGAGCACCCTGGCCTCGATACCAGGCCCTTAGTATCGATACTTCTTTAAGGGGTATCGATACTGCCCTTATAACTCTTTGAATTTTTAGCCTGAAACATGAAAGTATCGATACTGTAAAAAACAATATTGATACTCAGCCTTAAACATGCCTTATTTAGCCACAAATTTGCCACCCAAACTCACTAATTTTCCTACCTTGAGGTTTCCCAATTCTTATTAAGTCTTATTTGAATCTTAAGGGTCATAAAAAAGGCTTGAAAAAATGCTTTTACTTTAAAACATAAAATCCACCATGAAAATCTACTTAACATGCTCAAACTTAACTTTCTAGTTATCTTGTATTTCTATTAACCCACTAAGGGTATGAAAGAGTTGTAACATCCCGAAATCCGGGCCAGTGACTAAAATGAGAATTTTTAAAATTTGGAGATCAATTTAGGAAAATTGAAAAGTTT